ATCTATCTATCTATCTATCTATCTATCTATCTATCTATCTATCTATCTATCTATCTATATAATTGCTGTTTTTTTAACTCTTAAATTAAATGGTATTATTTCTTACCACAGGACCAGTTGGTCCAATTCTGCCTCTTTCACCTTGCAAACCAGCCGCCCCCTGAAACAGAACGTGTAAGTCTCAGTGTTTAGTTTCTGTGTCAGTGCTTGTGAATACTTTTCATTATTTGTTGCCTACCTGTGGGCCAGGAGGACCCATTGGACCAGGAGTACCAGATGCACCCTGGCAAATGTGAAAGAACACGTCAATTATACACAAATTATTTAAAATCAAACTCAATTTTACCTTTTTATCTTTATTGTTTTCAGCAGCTCTAAATAGTTTTTAACTATTACCTGCTGCTTTTGGAACCACAGGATCAGGAAACAAAATCATACCTTAGCACCAACTGCTCCGGACTCGCCTTTTGGCCCATCAAGACCAGAACTTCCCTGTTGGGAGATGAAAAAGTCAAACACTGGGGTATTTCCACACGTAAAAAAACACAGGTTTGTGTTTAAAAGTGAAGCTTTACTTTGTGGCCTTTCAATCCAGGAAGACCGGGGAGTCCGGGGAACCCTCTTGCACCCTGCATTCAAAACAAATCCCACCCTTTCTCATTGGTTTTGCCTTTAACTACCTAGTACAATTCCATACTTCTTTCCAAAATTAGCGAATAACTAAGTCTGTTTAGGGTATTTTTTACCGCTGATCCTGGAAATCCTTTTTCTCCTGCCGAGCCTGCAGGTCCAGGTTCTCCCTGATTGGATGAAAAATGAAACAGTAGAACTTAAGTATTTCCAATTAATCTGATAAAAAAAATGTGTATATTTCTGACCCACATCAGGTCCTGGTCTTCCTGGAGGTCCATCAGGCCCTCGGTGGCCTGGATCACCCTGCGAATTACCATTTAAAATTCTCAGGATTAGAGGAAACTTTAGCATTTATCTCAAATGTATAAACAGTCCTACCATAGGTCCTGGATCTCCAGCCTCTCCTGGGATTCCCTGACCACCAGGTGGACCCTGATTTGAGACATTAGAATTTTCATTTACAGCTGCCCTTTACAAAGCTATGAGTTTTTACAAATTCTTCAAACAAAATAAAAACAAAAAAATTAGAGGGTGAAACCTACTGGTGCCCCGGATGCTCCTGGAATTCCTCTTGGTCCTGCTTCACCCTGTAAAGGCGTTATTTTATTCTCAGTGAGTGAAGCTGAACTAACATCTAAACATTGTAAAAACTTGTTTCTGAACATCTTTCAGGACTCACTCTTGATGCCGTTGTCATTCGAGCCCAACCCGACTTCTCACTGAAACCTGAAGCCATTTCTGACACCAGGTTGGTCTTTAAAAAATGAGGCAATTTAACATCAATTCCAGAATAATTTCTCTGAGAAATACATTAAACAGGAAGTGAATTGATGCTGAGAACAGCTCACCCCAGGAGGAGAGGCTTCACCGGGGGGTCCTGGTTCTCCTGGGTTACCTGGAATTCCAGGCTCACCGTCAAATCCTGGAGGACCTGGAAATCCCTGAAATATCACAAAAATTGGTTACAATTCTGGACTCTGATGAAAAACTGGAGGCCGTTTGAAGCAAAATAGCTCTGCAGTTATTTATTAAAGACTGAAGACAACTTAAGAGAAATTTAAAGAAAATTTGTTGTTTCCAAAATTTAATTTTTTTTCCAACTGCAATTATTTTATTCTTTTGTTTTGTTTTTTAAACCATTTTAGAGACCATTATGCTTGAACGTAAACTTTAAGGTACATTATGCAGCTGATGTTTGAAATTCAAATCTTTGTTTTCTTCATTAAGTTCTTTCACACAAAAAAAATCTGTTTACAAAATAAAGAAAAACTTTGAACTTTTTCTTATTTATTTTTTAGAAAAGCCATATTTGCATCACATCATCATAAGACTGGTTAAGAGTTTACATTCAGCTGTGCTGATAATCCAAAAAAATCTAACTTATATCAATAATTTGTGGTAACTTAATTATTTGGAACAAAAGGATATGACAGTTTGAGCCACTCATAAGAACCATTGCCATGATAGAAAAATAACATTTAAACATGCATAAAAAGCCAAACCCATTAATAATGTATTTTTTAAACCACAATGTTTAAAATTTAAAAAATAATTAGCCTGTAAAATATATTTTATGTTGCTATAGGGTTTAAAGCAGGGGCGTCCAAACATTTTCACTGAGAAGGCCAAAATGAGAACTGATCTGAAGCCTGCGGGCCAAATGCAATAATATAATACATGAAATGCAAATACTTATTACGTAAAGTTGTTTTATTTTTTATGACTCAGCTAGCAGCACTGCAGTGGCCCACATTTTTTTAGCCCATGGAGAAAAATTAATGTTTGCTCAGGCAGCAAAAGCTCGTTGGACTTTTCATAAACTAAAATTTGAGTATTTGTTGTCTTATAAWAAAAAAAGACCGTCCATCATTAAACAGAGGTGGAGGCCTCCATTTTCAGTGGTCCCCCTCCTACAGTGCGGCCATTGCCAGTATCACTCCACCCCTGTTAACAATAAGTGTTAATTAGGTGTCAACGATAGCCATGTGATGTGAGTATCAGTCACATGAGGCAGGGCTTAAAAGCCTGAATTTTGCCTGAAACTCTCAGACTGAAGAAGTCTCTTGGAGGAGAGACGAAACGTTTCATTAGAGAAGAACCCGTCCAGAAGACCTATACAATTTTTTTCTTTTTGATTTTTTTACCTGGATTACAGGATGCATCAGGACGTTGTCTTATAAAGTGTGCAAATGTAGATGTATGCTTAAATCTAATGTAAATGTCCCTTGTAGCGACTTGTATTTTATGTTTAGTCTTAACATAATTCAAAGATAAATTGTGTACCATACGTTAAGTCTACCTGCACTACAACCCCTTATATAGTTGGTCCAATGGTTGGAATGACAAAGAGGAGAGAGTGTTTTTACATAAGACAGGAGAATACAACCTAGTAGACTTGATATCTGCTGGTGGGCCAAATCAAATGACTTGGCGGGCCAATTTAGGCCTGCAGGCCCCACTTTGGGCACCTCTGATTTAAAGCATCAAAATTAAAATAAGTGCATGAAGTCTAAAGAATAAAATGAAATATTTTTCCATAATTTAAAACCAGCTAATGTAAACTCACTCGTCGGCCTTTAAAACCTCTTGGTCCAGAGCGTCCCTGAGCACCTGGAGGGCCCTGAAGATGAGAGGCAAACAAAAAAACATGAATTCATAGAATCATTTCACTTTAATTATTTGATTTCATGTTTTATCCTGACTCATGCTGAAGAGATATATTTGGTTTCCCCCACTGCCTGTAAAAACCTGTGGCAGAAACTTAACTTCAACATGGCCACCAGAGCTGACCAACATCACCCAACACAAAAACAGCTAAAACTGAATCAGTTTGACAGATATTGAGAATTTGTTGTGGTTGTACCTGAGAGTTATGGTACAACATGAGGTCACAATAAGGCAAAAGAAAATATTCCAATATTTAATTTAGTTAAAAAGTTTTAGTTAAAAAATGAAATACTGATTTTACCAACAAAAACACTGACTAACCTGACAAATAAAATAATAATTTTGAACATTTTTTCTGTTGAACTTTTAAATTATTTTGTTTTGGAAACCTTTGTGAATTTATTGCAACTGTTAGTGTTAAGGATCTGTCTGTCTTTGTCCCAATAATTAACATTTTCTTTGACAAAAAATGAGGATAATTTGGTGACGTGTTTTAACCCTAACCAGGCTTCTGATTTAAAGGTTGCCTGCTATTTATGTAGCATATTTAATCTCTAGTTATCAAATAACTTTGTATGAATACGCATCAGCACATGAAGGAATGAAATGTAAAGGACTGATTAAATATTACAATTGAAAAATGAACCACAACTGAGCCAGTGATGGCATGCCATCCTAGAAAAGTGCCGTCATTGCCAGACCTGACCCACATCCAGCTGACAAGCCACTTACCAGCAGTGCCAGCTTGCCCCCACCTGTCTGCTACAGTATGTGATTACTGAGATACATACTGACACTAAAATGTTGCCTGTATTATATATTGTCAGAATTAAATACAGTAAATATGGAAAAATATTTTCAAGTTTTTGTTTAATTTAGATTTGAGATAGTTTACATTTTTGT